TGTTCTCAATTTTTTTCTCTTCTGGTTGTTTTCAAAATTTCATTTAAAAAATAACTATTATAAATTGGAAAATTAATAGATTGGGAAATCAATAGATTGAATGTAAATTATGATATTACAAATTATCGATCTTTAAATCAATTATATAACTTTATAATTGTTACTTAATTTTTTGACTTTTAAATGTTAAAAAATTAATATATATTGCAATTGATTATAAAGATCTTACATCTGATTTAATAAATGATCATGTAGCTTGATAAATTGTAAAATTTCTTATCTCCCGTATGATTATATGATTCATCATTAAAAACTCTAAATGTTAGATAAACGTAAATTGATGATAAGAATTTCTCCGAATTGATATTTTATTATATATTTATTTCCTAATTTTTTACGAAACGGAATTAATGTAACAATCTCTCTCGGCGTTCTATGTCTAAAAATTGAAAATAGAAGAACAGCATGAGGTATTTTATTAATTAGGAGAAAATAATGAAAATTAAGAGAACATAAAGATTAAATTAATTAATCTTGTTCATGATGGAATTTAGGCTAATCAAAAGCTTCGTTTTTCCCACTGACACATTTGTTCTCAATTTTCTTCATTTCTGGTTGTTTTCAAAATTTCATATAAAAAATAACTAAATTGGAATCAATAGATTGAATATAAATTATGATATTACAAATTATCGATCTTTAAATTAATTATATAACTTTATAATTGTTACTTAATTTTTTAGACTTTTTTAAACGTTAAAAAATTAATATTATATATTACAATTAATTATAAAGATCTTATATTTGATTTAATAAATGATCGCTCATCTAGCTTGATAAATTGCAAAATCTCTTATCTCTCGTATGATTATGTGATCCATTGTTAAAAGCTCTAAACATTAGATAAACGTAAATTGATGATAAGAGTTTCTCCGAATTGATATTTTATTATACAGGGTGTCCCGTAATGACCGGACCAATGCTTAAGGATAGAGAGATATTCCTGAGATTATTTTAAGATAAAAAGTTCCAATACCAAAATGTTGAGGCTATAATAGTTTTTGAATTATAAGTGTTTAAAAGTTAACTAATCAGATCGTATAAAGTTGGCGCGCTTAGGTACGGCACAATGCAAATTCCTAAAAACAAAAGCTGACTTATCGTCCTTTTTATTAATATGGATTACATATGTGAATATAAGATTATTTTTATTGATATTTCTGCAAACACATTGCGCAATAACATTGTACAATAATATTTTCTTTTTTATAATAACACTTTTTGTCTTTATATAATACATAAAGCGCAAACTGT